GGGGGGGGGGGGGTCCCTTACTGGGCTTGGGAAGACACCAGCACTTAGAACTCTACCTTTCAAGGACATTCAGAAACCATACTCCTGCTGCCACGGAAGTGAAAACCAGATCTCCTGTGGCTCCAGGCCTGAGGCAAGCTGCACAGTGACCGCACTCAGGCCCCAGACTGACTGGGCAGGGAGGATGCAGTCCCTGCCCCCACCCACCTCCTGGCTGTTCCACGGAGGATGCCCTGAGGTGGGTCTGGGGGCCCTCACTCAGGCCCGGGCTCTGCACCTCTGTTCAGCTGAGGGCTATGGGGGATGTGCGGGGATGCTCCAGACATGCAGTGTCCCACCGGGCATCACCCACATCAGCAGGGAGGACAGGATGGCCCACCAAGGCGGCTGTCAGCACACAACTGGGCTGGGCCTCTCAGCTTGCCCCGGGTGGCAGCTGCTCCTCCCACTGACTGCCTAAAATACCCGGGCACTCATGCACCCCAGGGGGTCTGCTGTTGGGTGGGGGTTAGGGGCAGGGAGGTCTCTCCATGTAGGAACTAAGTGCAGCATGTGAGGCTGGGGTCTGGGAAGGGGCTCAGACAAGGAGGTAGCACAGAGAAGTGCCCAGGGCCCTTGGGTGTCACTTCCTTCAGGTGTGTGGGAGCACTGGAGGCTGCACTGGGCTAATGTGGCTGGAGGGAGAGGAGGGTCCTGAGGAGGGGTCTGCAGCACCTCAAGGAATCCCAGGGTTTGTAGGTGGGGAGAATGAGTAATCCCAAGATGTTGGCTCAGGAACCCAGAAGACAGATGGTGCTTTCAACCAAGCAGGGCCTAGAGGGACCTGTTCTTGCCAGACAGAAAAAAAGTATTTTAAAAATGAGCAATTAGGCCAGGTTAATCCCAGTACCGGGAGGCTGAGGCAGGAGAACTGCAGTGAGTTCAAGACCAGCCTGGCACACAGAATTCAAGGCCAAGCTGGACTACACAGTGAGACCTTGTCTTAAAAAACAAACCACCACCAAAACCAACACGCCCCCCCCCCGCCAAAAAATCTGCATAGAAACAATATGAAAGAACATTCACCCCGTGGTGCAGTGGGACCAGTAGCAAAGGGATGGAAGGACAAGTGGCCCCTTCTCACCCTGTTGTGTACCTCTTCATTCTGAATTCAGTCCGGGCACAGGTTTTCAATGGGAGAGCAAGGGCAGTAGGGTCAGCATGGGAGCCCCCAAGACCAGATGTGCTGCAGGGTCCCTCCTTGTCCCCACAGGAAACCGGGCCACCCCTAGCAGTGTTAAATCTCCTTGTGCTCCCCAGATTTGGGCCCTGGGGCACGTGGGGTCCCCATAAGTCTTGAGGTGATGCTGTGCCTTGGTTGCAGGGATCGTTAAGGAAGTCGAGGTACAGCAGGCTGCCCTGGGTGTCCCAGCCCGTGGGACAGGGGACAGTGGCCACACGCCTGTGGCTGAGGAGGAGGCAGGCATCCCAATCCCAGCACCAGGTCTCCTGCAGGTCACAGAGAGGAGGCGTAAGTACCATGACCTCCCTGCACGCCATGGGGACTTGGATCCCACATGAAGTGAGGCACTGGGCATGGGGGCAGCACTGCAGCACGGGACCGGGGCTGGGCCTCATCAAGCCCCAGCAAGATGAAGACCAGGGACGTGCCCAGGCTTAAATGTGCAGCCCCCAAGGGCACAGGAAGCAGTGCGGGCATCGAGTCTGCTAGACTGTGGGGTGACTGTGCTCCCCGCACTTTCTCAGAGCCCTTGAGCAGTGTCTCCTCTCTGGAGGTCCACTTTGACCTCCTGGACCTCACTGATCTCACAGACATGTCAGACCAGGAGCTGGCCGAGGTGTTTGCCGACTCTGATGATGAAAACCTGACCAGTGAATCCCCAGCAGGTGAGTCTGGAGGTGCAGGGGGGAGGCACTGGGTGGGGGGCTCCCATGCTGACCCTACTGCCCAGAACTGTACTTTTGAAAACAACTTCAATGCCGGGAGTGGCAGCACATGCCTGTAATTCTACCACTCAGGAGACTGAGGCAGGAAGATCACTACAAGTTTGAAACCAATCTGGGCTAGTGAGTCCAAGGCAGCCTGCACTAAAATTTGAGACCTTGTGTCAAAGAAAACTTCATCTCAACCTCGTCTTAAGAAGCACACACCATGTCATGACCCTGTCTTCCCAGCATGAAGGGGTCTCTCCTTCACAACTGCCTCTACTTAATTTTAATTTTCAAATAAGCAGTAAAGAGGCCAAAGCCATTCTCTCAGAAGTAGGAAGTATTAAATGTGAATTTTAACTAGGTCAGCTGCATTTGCCAAACCAGGCCCCTCCTTAACTCCCTGACTTGATTTCAGCTCTGGTTCTCTCAGAAGCATGGCAGTTGGAAGGGCTGGGGATGTAGCTCAGTGGTGCCATGTCTGCCTGGCAAGCACAAGGTCCTGAGTTGCGGGGGTTGGGGGAGTGTCCGAAGCAATACGATTGGCTCAGGCCCCAGGCAGTGAGATGTGTGCAGGGTGGCCCAGCCTTCCTGCTTTCTCTGCCTTCTCCACGCCAGCAGGCCCCACGGCACTGTTTGGTCTCTCCCCTTAGTCCTGTAGTCCTTCAGGCCGTCTCCGGCAGTCAAGGTCATCAACGCAACCTTTGGGTGCCCACTGCAGGCCAGGGGCGTGCAAAGGAGCCAGTCCCCACCCCACAATCTGGCCCAGCCTCTGCCTCGCCCCGCCAACCAGCCTGGGAGCTGCACATGGCCTGGGTCAGTGCCCACCCACACACATGCTGAGGCCTCACTGGGGGACCAACCTCACAGAGGACCCTGCCCGTGGGCCTGCTGTCTACCTGTTCCCCGGAGGTGGGAGCAACCTACGCATCTGAGTGGACTCTGGTTCAGCCCCTACCTTGAGTCCCCTCCACAGCTCTGCCCCAGTATGAGCCCACAGATGTGCCCCTCACAGCCTCAACCACAGGAAGGGCATGAAGAGCTGCAGTGGGACAGGTGAGGGTGGCACTGGGTCACACAGGCGGAGAGGCTGAGCCGTGGCTGAGGCAGGGGATCTCCAGCAACAAGGCCTGTCCCCCACATTCACATTCCCTGTGCTAAAGGCATCAGGGCCCAGAATCCATGTCCTGTTCCTGCCAGGTCTGCACCCATTGCCCCGAGCAGGCTGCCTGCGCTCCCCCTCCTGGACAAGGACTAGGGCCGAACAGAACCACGACAAGCAGCCCCTTGGAGACCCAGAGCGGCAAGCTGCGATCATGGACACATTTCTCACCGTGGAGGGGCCCAAGGAGGACTAGGCTGTCGGCACTGCTGGGCCACCTACCCTCATGATGGCAAACACAGACAGTCCTGGCCTGGCAACACGTGCACCCTCCCCACAAGGGTCCAGCCACCATCTCTTCATGGTAGCCAGGAAAGTGCTGCCAGCCACAGGCTTCTGGGCATGCAGCACAAGCACAGCCCAGTGGCCTTACCTCCAGCTGCTGCCTGGGCCTGGACAGGGCCATGACGTCACTGCTCAGGATGAGACGAGCACAGCCTGGGCCTTCTGAAACCTTCTGTCCACAGGACCAGGGCTCACATCAGCCCCGATCTCCACAGGTCCTGTGCCACTAGGCTTAGCAGCCAGAGTGGGCCTTGTGTGGCCCGCGAGGTGCTCTGCCTTCAGCCACATATGGGACCAGGGCAAACATCTCCACCGCACTCTCCAGTTTACCCACCCCTCTGCCCCAGGGAGGCACTGCTGGTACCAGGGCCCCCTCCCCAGCAAGCTTCAAGACCTGTGTCTGTCCCCTTGGTCCCAGGTGAGAGCAAAGGGGTGAGCCTGGTGCATCTCCCCAGCTTGGAACACCAAATGCGGCCCACTGCCCAAGAGCTTAGACGGTTGGCAGGGCTCAGCCTCTCCCACCAACCCTCGAGCCCAACCCCGTGTTCCACAACTGGCAGTTCCACACAGGAGGCGGCCTGGCTCTGTGTGTGTGTGGAAAGGGCCAGGCCCACTGCTCTCTGGAAAGATGGATATTCACTGCAAACGGACAGACAGGCATCTGGACTGACCACATACCAAGACTGCTTCTGAAGCAGAAGTTCAAGCTTGCTTTCCACCCGCAAAACCGACCTGCCCTCTTGTCCCCGGCTGATGCTTCCGGGGAAGGCAGCAGGCCCCAGACTTTGCTCCCACCAGACACTCCTGGAGACCAGGCGGCAGGCCTCCTGCCGGAAGTTCCCTTTCCCAGCTTCCCTCTGCATTGGTGCCACTCCCCACACACCAGACCTCCCAGGGAACACTGTCCCTGCTTCCCCAGGGACACAAAACCACATCACCTCTGCAGCGCATCCCACGCCTCCCCCTTTCCTTCCTGCTGTAGCTTGCATAGCACACATTCAGTGGGATTAAAGTTTCACCACCGTCTAAAGGCTTCCCGTGGTATTTTTTGTTTTGTTTTTTGTGGTCCTGGGGGTTGAACCCAGGGCCTCTGTACTGAGCTACATACATTCCCGCCCTTTTTATTTTTTTTATTTTTTGTTTTGAGACTGGATCTCAATATGTAGTTCAGGCTGGCCTTGGACTATGTATTTAAGGGTGGATTTGAACTCAGAGCAATCCTCCTGCCTCGGCCTCCCAAGCTTTTTATCACTGAGGCGGGGTCTATGTTGGCCAGGCCAGGCTCCAACTTGGGCTCTTCCTGCCTGAGCCTCCAAGAATGCTGGGACTACTGGTGGGCATCACATCCAGCACAGCCTCCTCCTCTCTAGCTGACCCCTGGGCACAGTGGCCAGCAGGAATGCATGGTACTCTGCCTCATGTCTCTGGGGGTCTCTGTACCAGACTCTACTTACTTGGGTGTCATTTTAGGGACCCGCACCCTGAGTTTCTGGCTCCTAGGTGAAACAACAAAGGAAGCACTCAAAAGTGGCACCCCTTCCCCAAGCAGGTGTCCCAGAGCCTTCTCTTCCTCCACAGCTGTGTCACCGGGAGTCCCAGGGCCAGGCCTTGCACACTCCTCACCCAGGAGCTAAGGTGGGTGCAGGGCCCAGCCAGCCCCACAGGCCTCCTGGCCGAGGACCTCAGCAGAAGACTCAGGTGGTCAGACTGTTCCTGGGAAGGACCCATAGTCCTCGGTCCTCTGAAAATCCCACTCCCAGAGAGGGAGGCGGGTTGGACACAGGCTGGCCTGCCTCAGTTGTCTGTTCTCACCAGGGCAGGGCCACCTTCCCCCATCTCCCATAGGCTCCATCTGTGGGGCATCAACAAACAGCACAGGGCCTACACCCGACAGGCACAAGAGGGGGAGCAGCAAAGTAAACCTGGGTGTCAGACTGTCTGGCTAATCAACCAGCAGCAGTGATGGGGGTGGGGCAACTGGACCTGGCACAGTGAAGATGGAGAGCAGGCAGGGAGGATGGACTCAAAGGGCCTGGTGTCATTCCAGCCTCAGAGACGGACCCCTGACTATCTGGCGGCATTTGCAGAAACCGATCACAAGGTCAGCCATTACCTAGGCTGCCACAGCACAACCACACAGTGCTAACAGTGCCAGCCTGGAGGTCTGGCCACAGTGCTGTGACATCGTGACAGGACCCCACCTCCACCATAAGGATCGCAGGGCGAGGCCATGACAGGGCCCTTAGTGGCTTCGCTAATCTGGGTTTGGTTGAGGCTGAGCCTGGAGATTTAGATTTTCAATAATGTACACTTTACGAACAAGAGTTAAAAGTGCCTCGCAAGCACAAGGACCCGAGTTCGATCCCCAGAACAACAACAACAAAAAAAGACCCTGTCCCCAGCTGGACTTCTACTTCTGAGGTCATGAGCACTAAGAGGTGTCAGGGGGTCAACAGAGAAGGCTCACAGGTCTGTATCCTGTGACTCAGCAAGTTCAGGACACATGGGGACACCATCACTAAACCCCATGGCCTTCACAAAATTCACTGTATCTGGACAAGGAAAAGGTCTTTTCAGCCCATAGCATTAAAAAAGCATTCAGTGACTCACAAGCGCAAGGTCCCAGTTGGATCCCTGGTACCAAAAAAAAAAAAAAAAAA